AGGTATGCTACAAACAGTTGGTGTGTAATGTACAACACATCAGTGAGCGTATACCGCTGCTACAGTTCCTTGTTTGAACTTTGAACTCGTTCGAATCACATAGAAGGATTCAAACTTGGGATCTATGTATCGTACCACACAGTGGCAAAACCATAATTCTGTTTTCTATTTATTTAAGCTACCAGAGTGGCCCGGCACCACTTGCCCAACCGGGCCAAAAAATAAATAGATAAAGGGAAAATTCCATCCGTACCCCACTTAAAGATGGGAATACCCGCTGTACCTAGTCCCAGTACGAACTTGCACCTATACCCAGAGAACGGCCAGTGGGCATTATTTGCATGCCCAGGAATGAGGTGGACCCAGGTTGGTACCACAAAATTGCAGTTATAACCAACCACTGGCCTGCACAAATTATGGACATACCCAGGCAAAATTATGGGCTTACCCGAGACTGAGGTGGACCAGCCAAATTAATAATATACCCTACTTAGCCTACTCCCAGATGGCTGAAATTATGCACATACCCATCAGTCGTTGGGCCACAACCGTCCAGGTGGTGGGCATGAGCATAATTGTGCCCAAGGTGGACCAAACAAATTATTAATATACCCTACACTACCAGATGGCTAAAATTATTCACATACCCATCAGTCGTTGGGCCATAACCGTCCAGGTGGTGGGCATGAGCATACTTGTGCGGTGCACCATCCTAGGCCCGGCAGTGGCTGTGGGTGCAACCACAATTTTGCCAGCCCGTTTCCGGGCATGAGCATAATTTCACGGTTGGGAACCAAGTGTGAGGAACAAGCCCTCAAGTGGTCCTTTCAGACATCACATTGTACTGGGCCAAGGCCCTAGCAAGCCAAGTGCCCGCCCTAAGTGAAGGCGGGCCTGAATATTCGTCACAGGCCAAATTCGACATTTCCATATGTGGGTATTCAGGCTCTTGCAGCGCGTCAGTTGGTTGAGTGAACGCGCGAGCCTCACTAAGCTGCGCTGTACAGTTGGCCCAGGCCACGAAAGTTGTGCCTGGGCACCTACACATAAAGCAGGGCCGATACATTGAGAAGCAGGCCGTCGGCCTCTGGAAAAGCAGTACAGCCGACGCACCTACCTGGGGGCCCTGTGCAGATGCAGCTAACAGCCCAAGTCCGGAGACTCAGGCCGCGCCCAACTGTAAGGGGCCCAGGCCCTCAACTGTAAGTCTCGGCCTGGGCACAGGGTCTGAGGCCCAACCGGAAGCTACTGGAAGCTTCCAGCCAGGCCACACGCAGCATGCAGCAGGCTGCCACTTCCATAAAGGAAGTGAGGCAGCCCAGGCCAGACATTCTGGCCAGTGCTGGCAATGCGGAAGTGCTGCTGCACTCTCGCTTAATGCTGCGCTGCTGCCAAGGGCGCTGACGGGGCGCGAGAGGTGAAGTGGGGCGCTGCAGGGCAGCGGGGCGCAGGCGGCCATAGCCGGGCTGCTAGGCGCCAGGGGGTACAGCGGATGATCGGGTGGTCTTCAGGGGGTGAGGCGCTGTGTGGGATAATCAAGGTCTGATTGAGGGTGACGAGATACGTACCTGGTACATGGAGAGGTCGCCGATGGTGTGGACAGTCATGTACATTGGTCTTCGTGAGCCGAAGTGATCCTGTTGTGTGAACCAACTGTAGCGTAGGATAGTATGGTAGAGTAGGCTGGGCGCTGTGCGCCAGGCAGAGAGAGCGACTCCGGATACTGTGTTGGTGTGGCCTACGGGCATGGACATTGGCTCAATACTTCATTGCATTGCTCTTTATGGATGGTTTTCTCGGTGCATTTGTACTCTCTACTTGGGATACAACTACTTGCTCAGCTGTGTGATTTCACAACTTGGTTTTATGTATATCGCTCACACTCATATTCCTTGCAACTTGGTATCGGAGCTGGTTGATGATCACCGCTTACCTGACACCGGTGACATTGTAACTTGGTGCGCTGAGGATGCTTCATGTGCAGTGAGTATACTTTGCCGCTGGTTGAATAGCGGGACCTAGGTAGAGAGGCCAGCCGCTGGAAGGCTGTGGCGACAGCGTGGGAGCTGTGGCGACAGCGGATGTATACATGATGATGATAGTATGCTGACGTGGCATTTTGGATGAGATGGCACTACATTGCGTTGTGAGTGGTACCGAGGCTCTTGACCGGTCATCGAAATGCACATCAGCCCAATTGGTGAGAAATCTGTGGTTGGGGGCAGCTATCTTCAGGTACGTTGTTCCCATTCCTTATCTACCCTCTCAATCTCTTCTTACCGTGAGGAAGTGACTCCAACTTGAGTGTCCTCTCTTTGGTGAGGAGTCGTGTGCGAGAGACGACATTCTTCCCGGTGGCGCATCTGGCAGGAGAGGGCGGTGCCTCTGAAGGGCCCCGGTCGAAGCACGTGGGTCACGGTCACCATGCCAACCCAATGGGATTAGTACACGCATGTTATGGCTGCTTTGTCCATTGAGGCTCTTTGGTGCGCTGATAGAAGGGGTGTGCGGACTGACCAGTCCTATTGAGACGCTCCCAGACCGTCTATAAACATTTCTGGTTGGGGTCTGATCTGTCCACTGGCTGTGATCGTCGTCCTGATTGCGACGTTAAATAATTCCTGAGGAGATGGGGGCTCTCCTTAAATCCCTCCTGATCAGCCAGATCAGTCAGACGTAAGGCTCGTTGCACACGAGGGTAAACAAAGGGGCAGGCTGGTCATAAGCATACTTGATGCTCACAGGTACGTTGGATACAGGGGAAGGGGATTCCAATTGTGAACTCAACTGTACATCACTGACATATCCATTGTGCATACATCTGCTCACACTTGTTTAAGTTTTTATTTTGATTAGTTGGTTGACCGACTGCTGACACCTAACAGACAGACTAGAGTAGGACTGTAATCTACCATAGTCAGTTCCTCTCGAATCTTCTGTGCAGACTAATCAGAATAAGAATTAGACAATGTGTACAGTTTGTGTACATGCTGTTGATGCCGCTTGACTAGTAGACTAGGTAACTCGTCGGGCATTTATTTAATTATTTATTTTTAGATCCGGTCAGACGCATGCTGCGATAGGTTCCAGGAGGACATTAGTGCAGACAGTGTCTGCCTAACCTATGAGTGGATCAGAGGGTGGTGAGGGTACAGATGACGATAGGAGGTTAACAAGGCTATCATCCCTTAGAATTCCTAAAGTGTTCCAGACCCTACAACCGGGAGAAGAGAGAGCCCGTAATCTTTAGGAATCCCTTAGAATTCCTAAAGTGTTCCAGTGTTCCAGGTTAACAAGGGCTGAAGCTAGGGCCCGTAATCTTGAGGCTGCAAGAGAAGCAGCAGCAACTTGAGCGGTAGCAATGAGTAATGCTACTTCCGCAGCAACCGCTGCGAACTCAATTGGTCAAGGGCTAGGCATGCCGATCTGTTCACAGTCAATCTCCAGTACGTCAAGGGTTGGCACTAGTCAAATGGCGGGCTCGCAGTTCAACTCGCCGCCTCCACGCACCCGGGAGCAGATGGAGCTCCAACAAGTAGAGAGGATCCGCTTAAGGTTAGAGGAGGAACTTAGACAAGCTACTAAGAGAGAGAAAGAGATCAAAGAGGGAAGTGTCAGACTAGAGAGTAGGGAGGCAGACATGGCTGCACTAGAGGCATTAGATGACACTGCCCTAAACACTACAGGAAAGATCCTGAAGGCAAACGTCCTCTCCATGCATGCGTACATAGACAGCAAGATGGACGCCATGCAGGATACTCTAGACCAGATCCTACAAGCGCTACATAAGCCAGGGATCCGGCCAGCAGCTTTACCATCGCTGCCACTCTCAGCGATGACAGGCCTCTATGCCACTCAGTCAGGACCACCACCAAGTGTTTCATCAATAGTAGCACTATCTCAGACTGTTGCTTCTTCATCTTCAGGTCCAGCGACTGTTGCTACACCACAGTCGCCACCTGTCTCGCAAACGGGACAGCAATATCCTCGGTATCCCAAGACCCCACTGAACCCACCTGCAAACTTCTCAAGAGACAAGAAGGATGAGGCTCTCGACACATGGTTGAGAACGGTGCCAGTGTGGGTGAGGGCCAAAAGGACATGGGTAGAAGAGGAGGTGATTACTGTTGCATCCTACTCAGAGGGTTCAGCAGCCCGTTGGCTAAACGGATTGGTAGCTTCAAAGGGCTTCGGCAAGAATATGCATGATTGGGCGCAGACCCACACATTAGAAAGCTTTATGGACTTAGTGGAGGCTCGTTGGCACAACCCTCATCAGGCACAAATTGCCACTGATGGGCTCTTGAAACTTGATACTAAAAAGTACAAGTCTGTGCGGGAACTCACACAGTCGTAGAGCGCCTGATCGTCGTCTCGGGAGTGGAGTACAATCTACAGGTCTTGCTGACCATGTTCCTGAGATGTCTTCCCACAGACATTAGGAATTTATTAGCCAGCGAGGCTTGCAGAGAGCATTACACCTTTGAGTCATTCAACAAGAAGGCCCTAGATTTAGAGGCTACGCTTTGTGGAGCTCAAACCCCTTCTATGGACGGGAGAAAGAAGACTCCACAAGAGTGAAAGAAGAAGGGTAGTCGATTGATGATGGTTGATTCCTATGGAAATCAAACCAAGATCGATGATGTTTTCGACCTTGTGGAGGGTTCAGAGTTTGACGGCGAGGAGAGTGCTGAGGGTAGCAACCTCGCCGCCGTAGTTAAGACTAAGGCAGCTGGCCGCGGCAAGGGCGGTCAACAAAGGAGTCAGGGGCGGGCCGCTAACCCAAACAAAATAGCTGCTTGGGTTAGAGCAGCTCTGGATCAAGAAGTGTGGCGGGACCGTTGGTCTCGTGGTGCTTGTATTAACTGCGGTGAGTATGGTCACACACAGTTTAAAAGCAAGAACCCGAAGGTCTCGTAGAAGATCCCTCCCAAGGGTGGGTTCTCTTCTTCTCAATCTGGGGCCTCTACGAGCTCCAGCTCGGAAAACACTTAGGGCCAGTAGAAGTTGTAGCTGCTTCTACTCTCGTTGAAGCGGGTGATGTACCATCCCCGTTTCAAGAGATGGCCAAAGCTATTGACTCCTTAGTCACCCCGTATCTGGGGCGGATGCCTTATCTGGGGCGCTTACACCCGGACCCAACTATACTTTGTACGTTGGATGTGTCAGAGGCCTTAGAGGACCTTCAAGGTGAGTGGCCGGCAAGGGACCCTCGTGAGTCCTGGGTGGCACTGAGTAGAGGTCCTAGAGGGGAGCACTTCGTTGTGGAAGTTGATGTGGGCGGTCGCAAGTGCGGCACCTTCGTAAACATTGGCTCCACACGAAATTTCATAAGTCACGACTGCGTTGACAGACTGTGCCTAAAGGACCGGGTGCAGCGCCTTAGTAGACCGGTAGCATCTACTTTGGCCAACAAAGAGCGCATCATGGTGGAGGACTACATTAAAGATGTAGTCTGCACCTTCTCCTACCCAGGAGGAGAGATAAACCACAAGATATCATTCCTGGTGAGCGACGAGTTGCCCTTTTACATGTTATTGGGCATGTACTACCTCGAGGTTGCCAAGCCCCAAATTGACTGGGACAAGAAGGTGTTGAAGCATGAGTCGCCTAGTGGGAGAACCGTGAGACTGGCCAAGTACAAAGCCAGTAGGTTAGTAGACTCCTATGGGTGCTTATGTGCATCTGCCTTTTATAATTATTATAAACAGAACCAAGAGGAAGGAATGTATTTAGTCTATGTCTCTGCAAAAGGGGAGGCCGTTAAAACACCCCTAGAGATAGAGACCATCGTCGCTAAGTACCCAGATCTGTTCGAGGAGCCTACAGGAGTTGTAGACAGGGAGATTGTCCACGCCATAGAGATTATCCCAGGAAGTAAAACACCTAAGGGTAGAATCTATAGGATGGCTCCAGCCGAGTTGGACGAACTTCGGCGGCAACTGAAAGAGCTCACAGAGAAGGGTTGGATTCGGCCTAGCACTTCCCCCTTTGGCTTACCAGTATTGTTTGTTCCAAAGAAAGGGGGAACACTAAGGATGTGCATTGATTATAGAGGCCTCAATGCCATCACCGTTAAGAACGCAGAGCCTCTACCACGCATCGACGACCTATTGGATACGGTGCARAGGTGTAAGTACTATACAAAGATAGACTTAAAATCCGGCTACCATCAGATCGCCATAAGACCAGAGGACCAGAACAAAACCGCATTTCAGACCAGGTACGGTCTGTACGAGTTTGTGGTGATGCCTTTTGGCCTTTGCAATGCGCCGAGTACATTCCAGCACGCCATGAATAGGATCATCCATGACTACTTAGACAAGTTTGTTGTCGTGTACCTCGACGACATACTTATCTTTAGTAGATCTGCCGAGGAGCATGCTGAGCATGTAGACAAAGTACTTTCACTCCTTCGGCAGCACAAGTATAAGATAAACTCTGAGAAATGCGAGTTTGGTCGCACTCGAATCTTGTACTTGGGTCATGAGGTATCCGCGGATGGAATTAGGCCCGAAGATGCGAAGGTGGCTAGCATTCGTGACTGGCCACGACCCAGTCTGTGACTGAGGTCAGATCATTCTTGGGAATGTGTGGTTATTACCGCAATTTCGTAAAGAATTATAGCACGATTACATCTCCCTTGACTAATCTAACTCGACTCGACACACCATGGGACTGGACCGACGAGTGTGAGGCAGCTTTCAAGCGTTTGAAGCATGCTCTCACGCATCATGAGGTTCTCATGGTACCCGACCCGCAAAGGCCGTTCGTCGTAACCACTGACGCAAGCCAATATGGGATTGGCGCAGTGCTGGCTCAACAGGAAGGGAAGAAGTTGAGACAGATCGAGTACATGAGCAAAAAGATGCCTTCAAAGAAGTTGGCAAAGTCCACCTACGAGAGGGAACTCTACACTCTTTACAAGGCACTTGTCCACTGGAGGCACTACCTGTTAGGAAGGTTCTTTTACTTGAGAACTGACCATCAGACACTCAAGTGGATCAAGACTCAACCAGTTCTCTCTGATGCACTCAAACGCTGGATTGAAGTCATAGATCAATATGATTTCAAACTAGACTATTTGAAGGGAGAGTACAACAAGGTTGCACATGCGTTGTCTAGGAGGGCAGACTACCTAGGTGCGCTGATTTCTGAGTTTGGTTTGTCTGAGGATGTGACTCGATTGTTGGATGAAGCCTACAAGGAAGATCCCATCACAATGGACATCATCAACAAACTACAGGCTGAAGTAAGGCCACCACTGATGAGTTTGTGATGGTGGATGGGTTGCTCTTCCTTGAGAAGGCAGGGTTCAAGAGGTTAGTTGTTCCATCTGGAGAGACTTTGCGTAGTTTATTTTTAGGTGAGTGCCACGACGCAATGGGACACCTCGGCTATAAGAAGACGAGTGTTAATTTAGTACAGCGATTCTGGTGGCCCAACATGCTTGACGACGTGAAGAAGTACGTGGAGACCTGTCAGGTCTGTCAGCGGGACAAGCCGCGGACTCAAGCTCCGCTTGGGTTACTCAAGCCTTTACCCATTCCTGCTGGCCCAGGGCAGAGTATCTCCATGGACTTCATGGATATTCTTGTGACCAGCAAGAATGGCAAGAGGCACATCTTCGTCATAGTGGATAGGTTCACTAAGTACGCTAGACTAATCGCCATGCCAAAGACTGCTAGGACTGAGCACGTCATCAAGTTGTTGGACAACTGGGTGCATGATTTTGGATTGCCTAAGACTATCGTTAGTGATAAAGACGTCCGTTTCACTAGTGAGATGTGGAAGAAGGCCGCTGAACAGATGGGCAGCCAGCTTCAAATGACTTATGGGAATCATCCCGAAGCAAATGGACAGGCTGAACAAATGAACCGAGTGGTGCAGCATCTGCTGAGGCATTACATCAAGCCCATCCAAGATGACTCAGATGAGAAGTTACCTCTCATCGCCAGTCTGTACAACAACGCTGTACACAACACCATCGGAGTCAGTCCTAACCAACTACATCTGGGATGGAAGCCTGGATATGCTCTAGACTTCCTCCTGCCTGAAAATCGAACTGCTGCAACCCTTGGAACCATCGAATTTGGTGTCCAGTATGAGAAACTGTTGCAGCAGATTGTCGAACACATTAAGAAATCTCAGGAGGTCATGATTGCTTCTGAGAACAAGCGTCTTCGACAGTCCACATTTCAGGTAGGGGAACGTGTCTGGGCCAAGGCTAGTGAACTGGGACAGGAGTTTGGCATCTCTAGGAAACTAATGCCTCAATATTTCGGTCCCTGGGAAGTCCTAGATATCGTGGGGAATGATTTGGATGGTCCCTTGTACGTTATTCGTATCCCTGGTCACTTACACACTTACCCTGTTTTTCACGCTTCCAAACTTGCACCTTTCGCTGAACCAGCACAGTTCCCATCACGGAGATCTATGCTGCCCCCAACCATGGATGGCCACGTGGACGTCCACGACAGCCTGGATCACAGAGATACGCCTATTCCTAAGCCACCTGGCAGGGAAAGACCTCCCAAACCTGCGAGGGAATACAGAGTACATTTCAGGCATCATACAGATCCGAAGGAAGATCGATGGATTTCAAGGGAGGAACTTGTCAAGACAACTCCTCAGATCGTGGCCGATTATGAGAAAAGACTGAAGGGGAAGGCACCAGCATGAAGCATCTCAGCGGACTCTCGAAGCTAAGGGGGATGAAATGTGAGGAACAAGCCCTCAAGTGGCCCTTTCAAACATCACATTGTTCTGGGCCAAGGCCCCAGCAAGCCAGGTGCCCGCCCTAAGTGAAGGAAGGCCTGAATATTCGTCACAGGCCAAATTCGGCATTTCCGTATCTGGGTATTCAGGCTCTTGCAGCGCGTCAGTTGGTTGAGTGAACGCGCGAGCCTCACTAAGCTGCGCCGTACAGTTGGCCCAAGCCACGAAAGTTGTGCCTAGGCACCTACACATAAAGCAGGGCCGATACATCGAGAAGCAGGCCGTCAGCCTCTGGAAAAGCAGTACAGCCGACGAACCTACCTGGGGGCCCTGCGCAGATGCAGCTAACAGCCCAAGTCCGGAGACTTAGGCCGCGCCCAACTATAAAGGGCCCAGGCCCTCAACTGTAAGTCTCGGCCTGGGCACAGGGTCTGAGACCCAACCGTAAGCAACTGGAAGCTTCCAGCCAGGCCACACGCAGTATGCAGCAGGCTGCCACTTCCATAAAGGAAGTGAGGCAGCCCAGGCCAGGCATTCTGGCCAGCCCTGGCAATGCGGAAGTGCTGCTGCGGTCTCGCTTAATGCTGCGCTGCTACCAAGGGCGCTGACGGGGCGCGAGAGGTGAAGTGGGGCGCTGCAGGGCAGCGGGGCGCTTGCGGCCATAGCCGGGCTGCTAGGCGCCAGCGGGTACAGCGGATGATCGGGTGGTCTTCAGGGAGTGAGGCGCTGTGTGGGATAATCAAGGTTTGATTGAGGGTGACGAGATACGTACCTGGTACATGGAGAGGTCGCCGATGGTGTGGACAGTCATGTACATTGGTCTTCGTGAGCCGAAGTGATCCTGTTGTGTGAACCAGCTTTAGCATAGGATAGTATCGTAGAGTAGGCTGGGCGCTGTGCGCCAGACATAGACAGCGACTCTGGATACTGTGTTGGTGTGGTCTACGGGCTTGGACATTGGCTTAATACTTCATTGTATTGCTCTTTATGGATGTTTTTCTCGGTGCATTTGTACTGTCTACTTGGGATACTACTACTTGCTCAGCTGTGTGATTTCGCAACTTGGTTTTATGTATATCGCTCACACTCATATTCCTTGCACAAGGGCCTGCGGGACTGGGTATGCCTACAATTTCGCACAGGGAAAGTTGGGTACTATGCAAAGTTGAATGGGGTCCGGGTATAGATGCAAGTCGGGTGCTGGGACTGGGTTTAGCGGGTGTTCCCATCTTTAAGTGGGATATAGGTACATGCAAGGAAGATGAGCAATAGCGAACTTCAGCGATCAAACAACATCATACATATGAGTCCAGCTAGTCTTGACCTCGAACCAACAACAAAATTGCATCACGAGATTCACCAAATAAGAACACACCAAGAGTTCATAATTGACAATGCTGAAATAGTCCCATCATCATCAACGAAGAACCAGAGTTGATATCCTATCTGGCGCTCGGCGCCCAGACTACATGTGGCAGATCCTATCTRGMCTATACTACRAAGCCRAAASATGACGTCAACAGCATTCCCGAAGTACGAGCATATGGCGACCAATGTCGCACGCTTCCAGCACCAGGTATGTCTCGCGCTACACTCACAACCTCGTTCCCCAACTCACAGATGCCACTAGCACCCAACGACCACCCTGCGCCTCACCCAGCTTACAGCAGCACAGCTTGGCTATGGCTGCGTGCTCCTCCCTGCTCGCCCGTGAGAGCGTAGGCGCCATCCAGCAAATAGAGCAGCAGCAGCGCTTGCGCAGCATGCAGCCAGCACCCGAATGCCGAATGAGGAGGCAGGCCCTTTCCTATATCCAAGTGGCCTGCCTGCGTCCAGTCCCAGGAAGCTTCCAGTAGGCCCCGGTAGCCTGAGGCCCAACACGACGAGAGCAGGCCTTGGGCCTGTAGTGGTTGCATGTGCCCAACTGCCTTCGGGATGTGTTTGGCCCGGTACCCGTATCCAGCCGAGGGCCTGCTTCACATACATTCACACAAGCGGCCCAGGGCCTGGGTTCACTCAACCAACTGGCGCTGCGCAACTGCCTGAATTTCCCTGAGTTGCGTGGTGGCCAGAAAAGGGCCCTGAGGGCCTCGTCGAGCCTGCCTTCACTTAGGGCGGCCGACGGGCTGCAAAAATGGGGCCTTATGGGGCTCATAGAGGCAACAGCCTCGCATACAATTCTCCCATAAATAAATAAATAAATAAAGGGACAAGTGTGTTTATGTCACGACAGAGTTTCAAATGGGCAAAAAAAACATGCACGGGCAAAAGAGCAGCCGCCCAACTTAAAAAAGGGCAATGAAAGTACTGTCGTGGTGGCACGCCAGGTTTCATAATTACAGGGGTCTGGCGTGGTGTTAGACCGGAAAGGGGAACAAAAAAAAGGCCCAACGAATCTATTTCAACTGCAATTGCCCTTTTAGGTTCGGCAACTCATTTTTTTGGCCGTGCATGTTTTCTTTGCCTTTATGAACTCACGGCTGTACTTGTTTCATAAATAAATTTGGTAAAGAAATCTGATGCGACTCTGAGGCAGAAGCTTAAGCTTCAGAGGTTCAGAAGAATTTCAATGTGACGTCTCGGGTCCTACGTCTGATCAAATGCTGCCACTTCCAGAGATGGTCCGAATATCAAAGACGGTGGAGGGTAGGTGGGAGTACTGAGGATGCGCGTTGCACGAGGACTTTGGGGGAAGATTGCGGAGGGAGAAGCCCCCCTGAGGATGACCACGTGGTTGTGGCCAAAAGGCCGGGGTTGCCATACTCGCCGAACACACTGTTTTTTATTGTTCCTGTACAGTTGTGCACTTCGTCGTGTACACTTGTGCATAAGTGTTTTCTGAATCTGAGTTGAGGGCGTACATCTGTTTTTGGAATTGACCATATTTCTTTTTCATCTCATTAACACACCTTTGTATGTGAACCTCATCTGTACTGGCCGTTTAAGCCAACATCCACGTTTATCCTTAATATTAAGGGGCACTCCCGTACCCGCGTAACGCCTCCCCCCCGGCAGGCCTAGCAAAGATCGCGAACAACATCAGTACCGGAGGAGCGTCGGACAATGGGCCGCGACCCCTGTTTTGCGCCCCCCCCCCCCCGGACAGTCCGGGTGCGCAACTGTTTTTCTTTGGTGGTCCCGCTTCGCGAAAGTTTGTTTGCATGGGGTTCTTATTTCGTGGGGGCGTTTCGGGAGAGGATGAACAACACGGGCAGGGGATGTGTGGCATACTGATACCACATGGGCCCCAGTTAGGGCCCAGTTCTGTAGTAGGCAGGGGTTAGGTGTCGACCGGTAGAAGGGGTCTGCCGGCACACCGTCCGAACCTTATGCCTCGCGCCGCGTCTGTCACCCGCGGGAGGGTCGGTCGGGGCTCCTGTAACTTGCACAAAACATGTCAGTCCACATCCACGAAAACAAGGACCGTAGTAGACCGTGACCAATGCGAGACGAATCATGAAACACAGTCTGGAAGAAATAAAAGAAGTGGTTGCATTCAGTCCAAAACAATGGGATGTGAAACACTAGTTCCGGCCTCGGCTGTACATCTCGCCCCTGTGTCTGGAAAGTCCGTCTGAGTCCCCACAGACCTAGTCAACAGACGTCGCCTTATCCTCCTCCCGATTGGGTGGCGCCTGTAACGCGCCCGTTGATCCCAAGGAACGGTGCTCGAACTCTAAGTGTCAGATGTAGCCTCTCTCGCCCATCGGGGCCACAGCTCCAAATCGACCGTGACCATGGTTCGGATGTACCCCTTCGGAAAGGCTCGGTTCAGATGTGCCTCCTCGGAAAGCCCGCTTCACGGTCGCACCTCTTCGGAAGGCCCGCTTCACGAAGCTACCCCTTCGGAAAGCCTGCTTCACGAAAGTACCAGTTCGCGAAGCGCTCTTCGGTCGTACCTCTTCGGAAAGCCCACTTCACGAACATACCCCTTCGGAAAGCCTGCCTCACGAAAGTACCATGTCGAGAAGTCCTCTTCGGTCGTACTTCTTCAGAAAGCCTGCTTCGCGAAAGTCCCCCTTCGGGATAGTATCCCCTCGGTAAAGTACCTGCTCGATGAAAAATGCCCGCTCGGTAAAATACCCTCTCGGTGAAGGTGTCCGTTCAGTAAAGTGCTCGCCCGGAAAAGTACCCGGTCGGTAAAACGCCTGCTCGGTGAAAGTGTCCGCTCGGCGAAGTCTCCGCTCGGTAAAGTAACCGCTCGGTGAAGTATCCGCTTGGTAAAGTATCCGCTCGGTAAAGGTGCGCTCGGTGCAAGTGCCCCCTTCGGTAGAATACCCCTACGAAAAAATACCCCTCCGGTAAGCGCCTCTTCGGTGGAGTGCCCCCGGTAAAATGCCTCCTCGTGAAGTGTCCCCGGTAAAACGCCCCTTCGGCGAAGTGTCCCCGGTAAGTCGCCCCTTCGGTGAAATGTCTCCTCGTCGAGCCTGGCTCGGAGAGTGCCCCTTCACGGCCCCGACTCAGTCCGGTGACCCAATCTGCTCCCCTATAGCCCTGTTCGGTCGCTTGACAGTCTGACCGTGTCCTGATGACCCTAGCCCTTAGCAGTCTAACCTCGCTCGAAAGGGGCCAGTCGGCTCGGTGATCTGACAGCCCCTAAGTATTCCGCTCAGTCAGATGAACTGCTGCCTGTTCAGAAAGCCCATTCCTCCCAGCGGCCCGAAAAGGGGCCCCAAAGGCGCCACCTTGCGTGGTCCCCAATCCGGTATGAGCTCGCGCTCGATGACGTGTTGTAGTTCCCCAGCTATCCGCTGCTCGTCCTCTGAGTGCGCGCGCGTTGGGGCGCACGAGTGCACGCGCCTTCCCTGTACCCCTGATCTGATGTGTGCACGTGCGTAAGTCTCCCCCGCTGCCCTGCACAGGCATGCGCGCGTGCACTGTTTCGCACGGATGTGTGCCCGTGCGCGAATCTCCCCCCCCCCCACTGTCTCGCCCGGGCTCCCGCGCAGTGGTGCTCAGGTGCCCGGATGCGTTAGCAAAGCCGCACAACTCCCTCTTCCCGCGCGCAAGTGCGCGCTCACGTGCGCAGCTCCCCTG